ATCATGACTTAATGGAAAAATGGCTTAAACACTCAGAAAAGGAACCTGGAGTTAAGGCAGGGGCAGGAGAGCAAGCCTGGGGTTCTGGAGTCTTGTAGAACGGATCCCAGTGCTGGTGCTTATCTACCGCGTGACGTCGCACAAGTGACTGAACATCTCTGGATGCCGGTGTCCTCACCTACAAAGCAGGGAGAGTCATGGTGTCTGCCGGGAGAGGTGTTGGGAGGACACGGCGGGAGAGTCGCTGCTGAGTGACCCATGCGGAAGCATTCACAATGCTAGCCGCTGCTTCTTGTTGCTGTTTTTATCAACCCCAGTAAGGCCAGTCGGCAATTCCACATCATGTACTAGCAAAAGCCTGGGCTCTGGGTTTAGTGGGCCTGGGACGCTGTGCTGTGTCTAGGGAAAACCACCCAACATCCCAGAGCCTCCAGGTTTCTCCTGCAATGTGAGATGACAGCTAATCCCTTCTGTTGCAAGATTTGTCTGGCGAGGCTAGAAAGGAAACGAAGTGCTCCAAGTCCGCCCATGGTAGATGGTCGGATGGAAAGTCAGTTCCACACTAGAGAGGGAAAAGCCGAGGGGCACCAGGAGCCTTCACTGAGCAGGTGCGAGGTGAGCCGGGGGGCAGGAGGGAGGTTAGGGTTCAGGCCCTCTGCTGGAGCCCGCACACAGGCTGGCTGCTGGTGGCTCTGCCCCCAGGGTTGTGAGACGGACTAGAAGCCCAATGAGTCACACTCAACACATTCAGAAGACCTCACGCTGCAGGGGTTGAGTGTAAAGCTCAGGGGAGCCGGGCCGCCTGGGTTCAAATCCTGACCCTGAAATGTACTTGCTTGTGGCCTCAGTCTGCTTGTCCTAGAGGCTGAAGACAGGACCCATCCAAAGGCTATCATGTGGCTTAAGAGTGTAATCCTGTGCCTCACGTGTCACAGGCATTACTGTGTCTCTGACGTATATTTAATTTATGTAAAATCAAAATATAGGTGCTCGAAAACGCTATCTGCAGCTGGGGGAAGGGGGAACAGGAGGGGCACCTGCTCGGCCCCCAGTGGTCTCTGACTCTGGCGGCGGGCCACTGAGGGCGTCTCCTCAAGCCAAGCACACTTGACATTTGAAGGTACATTTTCCCCACACAACAGGGTAGCGACTTAGAGACTTAGAGAGGTAGTGACTTCATCTGATCTGCACCAGCAAGATGGTGACCTGTTCCATCCTTGGCCTTGCGGGATCAGGAGACCGTGGGTTGGCTGCCAACATGGGGCTTCTGTCCGCACACAAGACTCGAAGCCACTGACCCCCTTGAGGGGACCCCGGGCACTGCACAATTCCCAGGTGAACCTCATCCCCGCTTTTGAATGCCAGAAAGCATACCGAAATACAAGTGAGTGGGGGAGGGGAGGATGAAGAGAATCACCTCAAATCCACTCTACTATCATTTTTTTAAGCGGTTAATTACTAACGAATGTATTGCTTACTAATGAATTAATATTAGTCACACATGACGAATCCTCCCCATCTCAATCCATTCAGTTGAAATTGAAATTGTGCTCTAAGTTGTTCCAGCCCCTTGCTTGAGAACAAGATCTCTTCTTGATCTACTGATGTCTGTCAGTGACCCTGGGGAACCCCAATGGGAAGAAGAGTAGATGTGGGATGAACGAGGCTACAGGTTTGAGAATCCGGTTTGGTCTGGTTTCTGCCAACCCCTGAGTGCCTTTAGCACCTAATTCCCTAAAACTCTAGTTCTGGAGTGACCTTCACCACCTGTGCCAAGACCCCGTAGGATGCGACCTTTAGCTCACTTCATGTTTTTCTTTACCTTGATGCGCTTCTTCTAGGAAACAGTTTTATGTTAAAAGCAAATGTTAGTCACCCTGGAAGCATAATCATGAACCAATTCATGACAAACTGTCCAATAACAGGAAAGAATCAAGCATTGATCCCGCCTTTCCTACAAGAATGGTGCCACCAGGGTGGGCGTCTGGGTGGCTCAGTGGGTTAAAGCCTCTGCCTTTGGCTCAGGTCATAATCCCAGGGTCCTGGGATCGAGGCCCGAATTGGGCTCTCTGCTCAGCAGGGAGCCTGCTTCTTCCTCTCTCTGCCTGTCTCTCTGCCTACTTGTGATCTCTGTCAAATAAATAAATAAAAATCTTAAAAAAAAAAAATGGTCCCACCAGGACCAGGCAACAGAGGAGGGGCAGCCCGCCTTCCTAGAGGCGCTCCAACCAACGCCTGGCAAAGAAACAGCAGAAGACGATACCAGCCATTAAGGGACCGAGGCACCATGTGTTAGTGGTTGGCAACAAACTCTCAGCGGTTGCCAACGTCCCAGAAAGAGGGACACAAGACATTACGCGCCTTTGATTGAAAGAGAGCACCTTCTCCATTCTTACCAAAGGGATCGGACCTGAGTCTGGCCAATTCTCTAGGTCTGGCTACCAATTTGCAGGAAAACACCAAGGACAGTGGCGGGGTGGGAGGTGGGTGGGCACGTGCAGGAGCCTCACAGCTGTGCGGTCAACCAAATCCAGACTGAAATTGCTCCGGGTCAAACAGCCCACCATCTTCAGCAGATGAAGGGACAGATAAAAGGAGGGGATGGAGGGGAGAAATCACTGTATTAAAAGGCTTAGAAGACACAGCCGGTTTCTAAAAATGGGAAAGATTAAACTATCGTATTAAGAGACTGATAAGACTCAAGTGATCAAACTGTAAAGACGCAAGGAAATCAAGCTATGCAGTTGGCCGCTGGCTGCGAGATAGAGATTCAAACGTGAAGAAGATTCCAGAGTGGCTGGCCAAAGTTCTGCTTCTCAGCCGGGCCGGCGGTTGGTTTGAGGAACTTAATCTTATAATAACTCATCACTAAGACATCTACTTTGTGTGGTTTTCTGTATTTGCTTTATAATACCTCAACATTTAAAAATTTAAAGACTTTACCGTGCTATCATAAATGGAAGAAATCTGTAAAAAGAAAAAAAAAATATATATATATCAAATAAAAGCAAACCAATGACCTAGAAACTGGTGTTTGCCAAAGCTCAGAACCTGAAGCCTGGTACTCGGTGTTAAAAAGGGAAGTGTTAAAAAAGATGGCACAGGTGTGCTGACACCAAACGGAAGCATTTCCCTTGAGGCACTCAGAATTAAAGCGGATTAAAAGGTAAACGTAATTTTAAAATCCGTGCACCAGCCAAAGTCACCCTTCGTACCCAGGACCATTTTGCACAGGGATGCACGCACCGTACTTTGGCAAACACGACCCCAGCTCTTGGTGCCTGCAGTGGTATGAAGGACTTTCTAGGAGGCCCAGCCCCCAGGAGAGCCCAGCGTGATGCTGGCACACCAAGTCCCTGCAGGTAATACTAAACACACTTGCCTAAAATGTGCCCTCCCCCGATGACCTGCTGTAGGGAGACTGTCTGGGAATGAGAACTTGACCCCACTAGAAAATCATATCACTGAGAGCACGGAAGCCATATTGCCAATGAGGGGACAATCTGGGGACCCACTTGCTTCTCCAGGTTCTACCGTATCCCCTACTGCAACTGTTTGGTGACTGTCCCATGTCTGTTGCCTCTGCTCCAAGACCATACATAAACTTCTCAAGAACAGGACCTAGTTTGCTTGGCTCTATCCCTGAACACTTGGTCAAAGCCAAAACGGATGCGGTCTGTCTGTGAGATGCGCAAGGAACATCCACGGAGCATCAGCCCGGCACCAAGCACTGTGTCAAAGGCTTTTCGTGTCGAATCTCATTCCCTCCTCACAACCACCTCAGGATGCAGCTTCATTCAGTTCTTCCATTTTACAGATGATCAAACTGAGGCCGGACGGGTTTTAGGATTTGCCGAAGGCCACCCAGCGGTAAGTGACAGGGCCAGGATCTGAACCAAGGTCCGTCTGACCCCAAAATGCATCAAGAGACTTCTCAGAACAGGGAAGGAGCCAACCTCCAGCTCTGCCCCTTTCACATACGGCAGTTCTAAGCCCGATGAGTGGTCTGCACTGATAAAACCCACCCCAGGGCCAGATTTGGATCTTTCTAGGCTGGGAGTGTAGAATCTAACCTAGTAGAGGACAGGACTTGGTGATGTTGGAGGAGAGAGGAAGTCCCAAGCTTTAAATTATATGCAACATACAAAAGCATCCCATCTCACATAGGGGGTGGGCTCTAAAATTAGCATGCGTAGTGAGAACTGCACAGATTCGAAATAATCTTCAAGAATCCCTTAAAGCATCTTTAAGTCACTGGGCCACTGGCCCTTAGAAGCCCCAGAGGCAAGAATGAACTTTGTACCTTTTTGCACTGGGGAGCTGGCCACCCCCCTCCCTTGGTATGGAGGCCAGGGTCTCATTTGAGCAGGTAAAAGGTAAAAGGTTCCTTAAAGGGATGGCCACTGCTCTCGCAGATAGAGCTGAAATCAGCCAACAGCAGATCGCACACACACGTCCCCTTCTCTTCCTGCGAGTCACAGTTCTGTGCTCACGAGCCCCTGTATCCCCGCCTTGGGGGTCCTTGGAAGGCTGTGTTCTCAGACAACCCCCCCCTCAGGAAGTCCGCACAACTGGCAGAATGCATGAGAGCATTGACCGCAGGGTCTGAAGGGCAGACGGTAACCATCTAAGCACACGCGCCCTTTCCTTTCCTTCCCACTCGTTCCCCTCCACAAGCTCTGCCATAATATCGCATACGTGAGACTGAAAGTTCTCAGTCGCTGTCCCTGAGTCACCTCTGGCTGTCTGAGAAAGACCCTGCTTTGTTGGTTATTAAACCGATGGCCCGAGTTCCTTTATCTTCATTGTGATAGCGTCTGCCTAGGGGAATAGCTTCTCAGTGGCCGCCTCAGAAACTCTCAGCAGCGTCCCCCGGGCACCCCATCTTCCTGTCTCTAGAGTGGAAAAATGGGGGTGGGTGCTGCTGGGAGGGCTTAGGCCGAAGGCCGGTGAAGCACCCGGGAAGGGATGGCCAGAACCCTCCCCCCGGGGGCAGTTACCATGGTCTGGAAGCAGGAATGCAGCTGGGTCAGGAAGGGCGGCTTCCCGGGCAGGGCCAGCACCCGCTTCTCCACCATCGTGCACTCCACGTCATCGTCCTGGATCACCACGTCCTTCTTCAGGATCTTCACGGCGTAGAGCTCGTCCGTGCCTTTCCGCTCGGAGAGCATGACCTGGGAAAGAGAGGAAGACTGTCAGGGTGGTTGGAAGGGCCCGGGGGATTGGCAGGGAAGGATGCGTTCACTCAAATCCACTCCAAGCTCTGCCCAGATGCCGTCTGCGGACACCAACTCATGGGATGATGTTGTCCACAGACCTCACGCCTTGAACGGCTGAACCCAGTCAGCAGGCAGGGTCCCAACAGCAACACGCGAATACTGATCCCTTGGGGGTGCCCAGCCCCCAGGGCTAGAATACAAACTGCCTGAGGGAAAGTGTCTTTGCTTGTTTTCTTCACTGGTGTAGTAGTGCCTGTGACATAGTAGATGTTCGATAAATAGTTGTTGAAGGAGGGCGCGAGTGTGTTCCTGAGAACACTGAATGTGGAACACTCGTTGCCTTATTCACTCAATTATTTAATATTCATTAAGAGCTTGCAAAGCACTGGGAATATGGCCATAAATAGGCAGGCATGTTCTCCGACCCTGCCATCCAGAGGAAGAAAGACTTCAGATATTAATCACAGAGATGATTAGCATATTTGAACATCCTCTCCTGCTGTCCTGCAGCTTCCTTCTATGCAGTTGTGGTCCCCACCCCAGCATGTTAACTGGTGTGGCTCAGGACATATCATGTCAGATGCCACAGTGGTCAGTAGGTACTGTTACCGAAAAGCCTCTTAGAAGAAGCACAGGGCAGTACCATATTGCATGAGGCTTGATCAGGCCTGGGGGCTTCTGGGAAGGCTTCCTGGAGGAAGAAGCAATCAGACTGAAACAAGCATTTACTGCAAGCACTGTGTCGGGCATTTGGCAGGTGATCACGTCAGTCGCCACTACATTTCTGAGCACTTATCAACGTGCCCGGCAAGGAGTGGTTTTCATTTGTTACTTCTCATCCCATTGTGTAAGAATCAAGAAGGCAGGTGCCATTAAGAAACCTATCTTACAGGAAATCGAGGCTCACGGGGGGTGAGAAACCTGTCGCACAGCAAACTCAATTAGAGAGGGACCAGATTTGAACTCAGGTCTGTCCAACTCTAAAGTCTCTGCCTTTAAACGCTGTACTTGCCCAGAGCTCTAGAAAAATCCTCAAGGAGTTTAGGTGGTCAAGCAAATAAAATGCTTCTACCTGACAAGCTGGGGGACCAGAGAACACAACAGAGCCCTAAGGCCAGAGGGAGGGATGCCTGGAAGGCTCTCCGAGGTAGGAGGGCAGCCGGGCACCCTCCACTCAGCTCTTATCCTCATGGTAAGAGTCTGACTGCATGGAAGCTTCGAGGCTGAGCCAACCAGCTCATACAGAGGCCCTGTCTCCTGCTCTCACCACGGTCAGGGTAGCCATGGGCAATGCAAAGCCAGGAATTCAGAGCCTTTAGCACGGAAGTTCCCAGCACACACTTCTCTACCACAGGACAGCTCTCGACTTCTCCCCTCTGGCCCCACCACAGAAAGGGCTGCCAAGCTGAGCAAATCCTACCTTCTGGGCATTTACTCAGTGCCCATGCAGACACACAGAGCAGAGCGGAGCTTAACGGGCCAGGCTATGTGTCCTCAGCATGTTTCCCATCTCCCCCGGTCTCTCGTTGACCCCCAAGGGCTGTTTCCCCTCGCCCAGCCCTCACAGAGGCAGAAACACGACTCTAGGCGGTCAGTATTCTAAGATGTGAAGAGTCGGGTAGAGACAGGGGCTTTCTGCTCCCAGATTCCAGAGAATGCTGGGCATGGGGCAAGTGCAGGGAGGAGGCAGGGAAGTGACTTGGCCAGAAGACACAGGGGCGGTGGGGCTGAAGGTAGAAAGAAGAGCTTTTAGCTGAGGATCCCCCCTGCCCCCACCTCCCAAGTGCAGTAGGAGGGGCTCAGTGCTGAGTCAGCTTTGAGTGTGGACAGCCCCACTGACCTATCACCACCGGTCAAGGCATCATCTAACAAACCCACACTTGTAAACATCCACTCCTAGACTGCCCAAGACAGAGGGGAGGGGCCCCAGACACCCCCGAAAGCCAACGGGGTCATGATGGGACATCTTAGCCTCCTACCTAGAGGAAAAGCAGGACAGAGGGCTGGGAATTCCCCAGGCACCAGGGCCAGGGCGGACATCCTACAGCTGTTTCAATTATCCCCACTCTACAGATAAATAAACCAAGGCTCAGAGACATTAACCTGCTCCAGCTAACAACTGCTATAAAAATGCAGCCCTGCCCATGCTGCTCGAGTGCGTACAGTCCTTCGGGGACTCCCACAAGCCACACAGTTCCAGGACTACATCATTTTCTTTCTTTTCCTTTGAGTCTTCTATCCCACCGTCTCCTTCCACGCTCTCTCACTGCCCAGAAAATCAAAGATTCAGCTCGGATGTCACTTTCTTCTCTATCCCTCAGCGATGCACTGAGACCAAATGGGTCACTCCCCGCTCTGGGCCCCAGGACTGTTTTGTGCCTATGTCAGTTACTTTAACACAAGCTTCCCAAACTTCGATCAGTCATTCATGTGCCTTTTTTTTTTTAACATCTTCTCCTATCACCTAAGCTGGTATTTGCTTCGTATTTTAAAAACCTAGTCACATTTTTACTGAACTAAATTTATCTGAGAAAGGAAACTGTGGATCACCACTATTAATGGCAAGCCAGTATCACTAGCCATAAATGGAAGATCAGCATAAAAATAAATAAAAGTGAAGCCGCGCTAGGAAATTCCAGCTAGCTATTGCTAGCTGCTGAAGGTTCCAAGCCAGCCCCTGCGTGTTCTCCTTGTTAAAGGAAAAAACAGTGTTAGCAAATGTTAGAAAACTATTAACGGCATGCATATTGTCTTCAGATGAGATCATCTTGTTCAAGTCATTAGAAGGGATGATAGAAAACAGAAAGAGAGAATAAATTTATCACGATGTGATTTCCTTTTATTTAGTACCACATCTATGTACCACCTCCAAACAATCTCAGGCACGAACCTCAAATCACTTTACAAATCACCAGTGCAGGGGCTCCTGGGTGGCTCAGTGGGTTAAAGCCTCTGCCTTCAGCCCAGGTCATGATCCCAGAGTCCTGGGATCGAGCCCCGCATCAGGCTCTCGGCTCAGCAGGGAGCCTGCTTCCCTTCCTCTCTCTCTGCCTGCCTCTTTGCCTACTTGTGATCTCTGTCTGTCAAATGAATTAATAAAATCTTAAAAAAACAAAAAAAAAACCAACACAAATCACCAGTGCAATGTGCTTCACACCTTAGGAAATACTGTGGCATCTGTAGAAATTTTTTAAGTCAATCAACAGGGACGAGTAAAGACTTTGGTGCCTTGCCCTGTCCTAAGAACACGGGTAGAAGGAAGAATAAACCAATGCCACGTAGCACCTCTGACATCAGGGGAGTGGTATGCAAATGAGCCAAGGTCCGGAAATGCCCCCGTGCTGGCTGGAGGAGAGTGGAAATGACCCACATGGGACATTGGGGAACAGTTTAGATACAGAACTGAGTGAGATTCTAAGGCAAGGGTCGGGAAGCATTTCCTGAAGGGCCACAGAGAAAACACTGCAGGCTTCGCAAGGCAGCCTCTGTATCGGTTACTCAACTCTGCTATTGTAGTGGGAGAACAGCCACTGACAACACAGAAATGAATGGGTATGGCTGTGCTCCAATACAATGTTTTTTGTAGGGGCACCTGGGTGGCTCAGTCAGTTGAGTGTCTGCCTCTGGATTTGGGCTCAGGTTATGATCTCCAGGTCGTGAGATCGAGCCCTGCATTGGGCTCTGTGCTGGGCATGGTACCTGCTTAAGACTGTTTCTCCCTCTGCACCTCCACATTCTCTCTTAAAAAAAAAAACACACACACACACTTTTTTTTTTTTAAATAAAATTAGGTGATGGCTAAAAGTCCACCGGCAGATGAATGGATAAATAGATAAAGAAAATGGTGTGTGTGTGTGTGGGTGGGTGTGTGTGTCTGTGCGTGTCTGTGCGCGCACGTGTGTATACAGTGGAAAATCACTCAGCCACAGAAAAAGAATGAGATCTTGTCATGGGTGACACTATGGATGGACCCATAAGGTAATGCACTAAGTGAAGTACGTCAAAGAAAGACAAATCCCATATGATTTCATTTGTACCAGTAATCTAAAAACCAAACCAAATAAAGCAGAAATACATCCATAAATACAGAGAACAAGCTGGTAGTTGCCAGAGGGGCGGGGGTACTGGGATGGACGAAATAAATGAAGGGGATAAAGAGATACATGCTTCCAGACACAAAATAAATACGTCAGGAGGATGAAAAGTGCAACGTAGAGAATATAGTCAACCATGTTGTAATAACGTTGTGTGGTGATGGATGGTAACACTGCGGTGAGCAGAGCATAATGTGTACAATCGTCAAATCACTATGTTGTATACCTGAAACTAGCAGAATATTGTGTGCCATCTATACCTCAATAGGAATGAATGAATGAATGAATGAATGAATGAACGAACCAACCAACCAACCAGTGAATGGCAATGAGCTGGGCACCAGTTGTTTGCTAGAACATGTGTTTCAAGTCAGATTAGAAAAATAAAAGTTCCTACATAATCACAGTGGCATCAGTTTCATTTGGAAGCTAATCCTAGCATGCCTCTCAATTCTTCCAACTCTTTATTAGAAGAACCTTCTGATTGGACAGTGGGCCCACCTGGCCACAGCTGATTGGATCAGAGTTAGCTCCTGACCTAAGCTGAGCCAATCAGATTCTCTCCCCAGAGAATTTGCAATTTATTAGAAGAACCTTCTGATTGGGCAGTGGGCCCACCTGGCCACAGCTGATTGGATCAGAGTTAGCTCCTGACCTAAGCTGAGCCAATCAGATTCTCCCTCCAAAGAACTTGCAATAGGATTCCGGGCCCAGTCAGCCCTGCGCCCCTGAAGAGAGAACCACAAAGATCTGCCTGCAGTGGTGCTTCTCTACCACATGCAGGAAAGAAGAAACTGACGTTTTGGGGAATGAGCAGAGGCCTTGCTTTCCAGTGCCTGGATCCAATTTCTCACAAGTCTT